GGCGGTCTCTATGTACACGTGCACGCGCGGAGGCCATGCGGCGGGCTGGGGCCGGCCGAGGCAGACGCCCGTCAGGTCCCCACAGGTCCCCGTGTTTTCTCAGCAGCAAACAGGTGCTCCCAGCTCATGGGGCCCTGGGCTGGCCGCCTACACCACAGTATTGAGGGAGCCGCGGCTGTGGAGGCCACCGCCGGGCAGCGCCTCTGCGGGCGGGGTGCTCCCGCTCTGCGCAGAATCGGGGGGCACGAGCAGGGCGCTGCTGCTGTCTGCAGAGTCTTCCAGGTCTGCCAGAGAGGTCCCCGCGACGGGTGGCGGCTGCTCCCGGTGCAGGGGTGACGCGGCTTCGCTGCCACCGTCCCCGGGGGTCGGGGGGTTGGTCTCTGCGGGCTCAAAGGCATCGTCATCTGCAGGAGACATGGGGGCGTCAGGGGCAGGGGTGTGCCTGGCAGAGGGCCAGACGGGTTGGGCAGGTCGAGGACCTGCACCCCCGGAGTCAGCTCAGTCAGGGCAGCTACCTCCCAAAGTCGGTGGCCCCTGCAGAAGCTCTGGTTGGCCCGAGTGGCTGCAGGGGGTGGGCCTCGCTCTCCCCCTCACCTGCTCCTGATCAGCAGGTGGCCTCAGTGGGCGACACCACCTGCTGCCGTGTCACACCCACCCTGCCCTGCCGCCTGGCATGGGGGAACCTGGACCTGCCGCCCTCAGGCACCATCTCTTGCAGGGAGCTCACCCATCCTGACCCCTGACAGCAGGCTGACAATCTGTCCCGAGGTCAGAGGTCAAATCTGGGCCCTGCCTGCACCCCAGACCACAGCCTGGTAACTCTGACTCCCGAGGAGTGTGGACATGTAAAGGCGTGGCCTGGGGGCGTGGCAGGGGGGCCTGCAAGGCTGCCGCAAGCTGTGTGCTGGCGAAACGCACAGAAAAACGGGACAGGACGCCTACACTGCGACCTGGGACAAGGACTGGCCAGGCACCTCCTTCGGTGCACGGCCCTGAGGGGACGAGTCCCAGGGTCAGGTGGTCACAGACTTGAGCCACAGGCCGACATCACAGAGCCAGCACCTTCTCCTGGCTCCACGAGAGGGCCAGCCACATGTGGTCCGCTCAGCACGCGTGATACGTCGTGTCCAGAGGTGGCGCCTGGGTCTGGGCCAGCCCCATCCCTGGGCCCTTTGTTCAGGTCCCCAGCTCTCCACAGAGCAGGCCTGAGGTGGCCCTGAGGACTCAACATCTACTGGGAGCACATGGAAGGGAGCGAGAGAGGGAGGGTAGGGGGTCCCAGGCTCCCCAGAGATCTCTGTGCCGACATGCAGAGGTGGCCAGGGTGGAGTCGCCAGGGCCTCTTCTGCACAGGCAACTCCAAGGGCCTTAAAGGAAAAACCAAGGAGAGGCCAGAGAGGTGGGGTCCCCAGCCCCGGGGGCGGGCAGGCACCTGCAGGGTCATAGAACACGCCATCTGGGTTGATGGAGGCCTCGTAGGGTGGCGGCGGGTCATCGGGCTGGTCCAGGTCGGGGTACTTGTAGGCCGTGTAGGGGGGCGGCGGGTCGTGGAAGTGGAACGTCCCGCCCTCCCCGTCGTCAGAAAGGTGCAACGGTGTGAGGCCGGTGCCGAAGCCGTCGGGGCCGTAGTCGAAGCCGGGGATCCTCCGGCCCAGGTTGAAGTGGTGCACTGGCCGGTGAGAGGAGACGGGAGACGCGGTCACTGGCGGTGGGGGTGGGGGTGCCCACGGGACGCCCAGGCCGCCTGGCTCTCCCGAGGCACCCCGCCCTCACCGCGTCACAGTCCGCCCTCAGCACTGCCCGCCCAGCGGCTCAGCGAGATCTATGGAGTATCTGGGGCCAGCAGGCGGCACATGGTTACAGCGCTGGACTCCCACGTGGCCGACTCCGGTACGAGTCCTGGACCCGGCAGCTTGAAATTCATGCCAGGTGTGTGTGTGTGTGTGCACCCCAAATCCCAGGAGAATGAAGGGATTGCAGAGTGGCCATCCTTCCTGGGGGGAATTTCTTGTTTCCCCCCTCACTGCCTGTCTCTGGTGAGCACACTCACCCTATGGCAAAAACCTAAAAAAAAAAAAGTCTCAGGAAGATCACTCCTGGGGGTCCCAGTGACAGGGAGCCTTCAGTCTGATGTGGGCATCCTGAGAACCAGAGGCCTGGGAGAGCAGCAGGTGAGGCCCGCCAGCCGCCCACCCTGCCCCTACCCTTAACCCTCCCCACATGGGGCTGTGCGAAGCCTGGGGAGCTCCCGGGGACAAGGGGTGCTTTCGGAAGCTCTACTGGGGTGTGGGCCACTGTGTGTGTGGGAGTCTTGCAGCTGGGCTTGGCACTCTGCAAGTCCTCAGACTGAGGATGGCAAGCCACACTCTGCCACCTGGTGGCCACCAGAGGTGATGCTGCTTCCTGAATGTGTGGTACTGTCCTCCCTGCTGCGGCTGGTGCGGGAAGTGGGGGGAGTCCCAGCACAGTGACAGCTCCCTACCAGCCCTGCTGTCGCTGCCCTTCCCGGGGGGACGTGGATAGGAGTGGCGCGCGGTGGGAAGGACGCCCCTCACCCTCTGCTTACAGGGAGAGGGCCGGTCGCCCCGTCCTCCCTCCAGACCGGGCCGGGACACTCACAGTTCGCCCCGATCAGGGACTCGATGCGCTCCCGGCGCCGCTGGCGCAGCCGGTGGACCATGAAGAGCAGCAGCGAGAGGATGAGGAAGGAGGAGACGCAGCTGACCACCAGGCGCATCCCGCTGGCCATGGAGTCGAACAGGCTGCTGCCGTCTGCGGGGCAGGAAGGAGACCGCCGCACTGAGAGAGGGAGAGGGGCCCGGGCACGCGCTAGCCTGGAGGGGCAGGGCCTCTGTCCCAGGCCAAGACGGACTGGACACCGGACAGTCTCTCGGGACAGAGGGTGAAATGAAACCACGCAAGATCCAGAATGGCGTGCAGCACCACTACAGCGGAGTGCAGCGGCTGCTCCACCCGATGGGCCTTCGCGGTGTGCCCGGCCTCCCCCGGGGGGACACGGTAGCCGCCTTGCCTCCCTCTGGTTCAGCATTGCCAGGCGGCTGCCCACTGTCCTTCAGAGAGATCCTGGCCTCAGGGGGCCGCCGGGTGCAGGGGCCTGTCTGCTCGTCACCTGGGCAGGGAGCGGAGTCCTGTCCCAGGCCTAGGTGACAGGGCGGTGGCGGTCTGTGTGCACAGGTGCAGCCAGGGCTATGCTCCCGCAGAGCCCACAGCGCCACCCCTGCCTCACGTGCTTACGGGTGAGAAATTCAAAACACAGTCCCTTCTTTTCTTTTCCTTCTTTTATTTTAGAGATTTTTGCCATAGGGTGCGTGCGCTTGCCAGAGACAGAGAGACAGAGAGCGAGAAATCACCCCCAGGAGGAATGGCCATGCTGCAATCCCTTCTCCTCCATTCCCCTCTCAGGACTTTGGGCACCACGCACACGAGCCCGGGGTGAGTTTTAAGCCGCCAGGTCTGGGATCGATGACATGGGAGTCCAGCGACGTAACCATTACGCCATCTGCAGCCCCATTTCCAGCTGTGCCCAGTGCTGTGCAGACGGCCAAGCAGGGCGAGGTGAAATGTAAGGGGGGCGGGGCCTCCCTGTCCAGCGCCAGGAGCTCTCTGACGGAAGGTGCCCAGTCCCCAGTGAGAACGAGCCGGGGTGAGCCAAGGTGGCCACTGTTCCAGAGGCCATGGTTGGCCGGGTGGGGGGGTTCTCACGTGATGGGAACCACTGGGTTGTACTAGGAGTGACATCCCTGTGGGGACGTGGGGACAGGCTGCTGGGAACGGGCAGGGCGTGCCTGAAAAACCAGTGAGAGGCGCTTGCGGTGTCCAAAGAAACGGAAGGGACCAGACAGGAGGCAGGGACAGACGGGAGATGTCTATGACGACACAGGGCACACCTAAGACTCTGCACACGCCCGCGGGACCGTGCCCGGGGCCGGAGAGGGCTGCGGTCTCCGGTGAGCACTGGCGACAAGGCTCTCAAAGGACAATCACCACAGGACTTGCTTCGCCCGCCCTTAACGAGATGCGGGGGCACGTGTGGACAGTGCTGGGGACACGTGCCCACAGCATCAGGTCCCGCAGCTCCCCTGCCAGCCACGCCTGGACACCCCGAGGCACAGGTGGGCTGGGGCGGCCTGGCTCCATCTCTGCTTGGAGAGCTGGGGGAGGGGCAGCAGGTGCCCGCTCAGGCCCTTCCCAGAGCCGTCACCACCAGCGGGGTGGTGCTGCTGGCACGTGGTGGAGGTAGGATGCTGCTCCACGGCCTCTGGGCACCAGCACCTACATCAGGCATCGCCAGTGCCACGGAGACCCTGCCCTGCCCTGGCTGCCCCTGGGCTGTGCCAGATGCTGGCTCGGACGTGCAGACAGCGCAGGGCCCGCGTGTGCAAACGTGGTGTGGGGGAAGACGGCCTGTTCCAGCCAAGCGCCTGCCAGACTGGCATTTCCGCGGGCTGTCGCCCTGGGGAGACTCACGCCAAGTCACAGAATGATGGGGCCGGAAGTGGTCCCAGGAGCACCTGCCTCCGCGCACTGGGAGTGGCGACCAGGGAGGCTTTGGGGGTCAGGAGTGACCTGTCCGCTCCTGGAAGCGGGACCTGCAGAGACCGTGCTAAGCTTTGAGAAGAGCCAGGACTGGCCACTGCCTCCTCTGTGATGGCCTCTGCAGGGCGCCCGCCAACCATCAGCCCTGAGGTGCCATGCCCACGTGTGCCTGGCCAGGCTCCTGGGGCCCTGCTCTGCTCCTGCCAGCCCGTGCACCCCGTGCCAACAGATGGCCAGAGCTCAGCCTGTCCCCTCCCACGGGCCGGAGCGCGTCCCCACAGCTGCACGTGCTGCTGCCAAGCCTGGCGGAGCAGACGCAGGTAAGACGTCCCCTCCGCGAGCTGCCTTTCTTGACGCCTGTCCCTCCTCCAGGCCCTCGGGGACATTCCATCCTGTCTGTGGGAGGAAGCTCCGGGCCCAGGGGCTGGTGAGGTGCCTGCTAATTGGTGGCCAGCTCAGAGATCCCAGGGGGGCTCCCCAGGAAGCAGCCCGTTTGTGATGACTAATCCTTCACCGGTTCTAAATTAAACCCAAGGACATGGTCAAGGTCTCCACGATCCCTCCACATGGAGCCAGGAAGGCACAGCTTCGAGACCCAGGCCGCCTGTAGTGGGCACAGAGCGCCTGTCCCAGGAGCCAGAGGCCAGCCCAGCGGCCCGAGTTCTCACATCGTGGTGGGTCCCTCTGTGTTCTGGACAGTGCAGACGCAGTGGAGCCGAATGCAGGCTCCACTACCGGCTACCGCACCGCCGGCACCTCCCTCACCTCTTGGTGGGGGTGGAGGGCCGGGGGAGCGGTCTGGCTGCTCCACAGCGTGGCATGCGGTGCTGAGGCCAGTTTTATTGAGCTTTGCTGTTAGTGTGGGATCGCATGTGGATTTCTTTTGTTTCTCTAAAGACCAACATTACGAATCCTTTTCAGGTGCTTTATTTCTTCCAAGGATTTTATTATTATTATTATTTTAGAGATCGATTTTTGCTCTAGGGTGCGTGTGCTCGCTGGAGAGACAGAAAGCGAGAAATCACCCCCAGGGGGATAGTCATGCTACAATCTCTTCTTCATTTTTTTCTCAAGATTTTGGGCACACATGCATATGTACCTGGCACGAGTTTTAAGCCTCTAGATCCGGGACTCGAACAGCTATCGACTGAGTGGGAGTGCAACAATGTAACCATTATACCATTTGCTGGTCCCCATTGTTGTTGTTGTTATTTTAAGAGGTTTTTGCTATACGACAAGTGCGCCTCGCCAGAAAGAGAGACAGAAAGTGAGAAATCACCCCCCCCCGGGGGGATGGCCACGCCACAATCCCTTCTCCTCCATTCTCCTCTCAGGATCTTGGGCACGCATGTACATGCACCTGGTGTGAGTTTAAGCCACCGGGTTTGGGACTCGAACTATGGTCGACTACATGGGACATAATGACATAGCCTTTACACTAACTGCTGGTCCTGGTCCCCAATACTATTGTTTTAATTTGTTGCAGGACACGTGAATTCACCAGACACAAAATGAGAAAGCAAGTCACCACGTCCGGGACTTGAACTATGGTTGGCCATGTAGAAGTCCAGTGCCTTAACCAACACGCTACCTGCTGGCCCCTTCAGGTGCTTTGTCATACATCTTTTTTTGTAAAGTATAATTGAAACCTTTGTGGGGCTTTTTTCTTTCTTTTTCCTTTTTAAAGATAGGATCTCAGAACCAGCCAGGGGGGGACCAGCAGTTAGCATAATGGCTATGTCGCCGGATTCCCACATAGTCAACTGCGGTTCATGTCCTGGACCCGGTAGCTTAAAACTCATGCCGGGTGTGTGTGCGTGTGTGCCCAAGATCCCAAGAAGAGAATGGAGGAGAGGGGACTGAGGCGTGGCCATCCCCCTTGGCGGGTGATTTATTGCTTTCTGTCTGTTTGGCGAGCGCACGTGCCCTATACCAAAAAAAAAAAAAAAAAAAACCCTCAAAAAAAAAAAAAAAAAAAAAAAAGAGCCAGAGAGGGGTAAGATGTAACACCCTGCAAGGTAGACCCATGTGGGAAGTCCTGGGTTCGCATTCAGTGACTCCCCCCCGACCCCCAGGGTACACTGTCCACACACACTCACATCCCCATAACTCCAGCTGGCTGAAGCTGGAGGTGGAATGCATCGTCAGAGCCCAGGCATGGATGCTGTACTTCTCACTCACTCATGAAATAAACTTAAAAAGACAGGGGCTCACCGGGTTGCGATCCTGCGGCCTGGGCCTCCCAGGTAGCTGAGACCACAGACACACGCTCTT